CTGAAACCCTGGGCTCAAATGCTAACAGCAGGGGTGTGAGATTCAGATCCATCCATGAGAAGACAGAAAACACTGCCAACTCTGAACCCACTGGAAAGGTGGGAAATTCGCTATAAAAGCCAAACCATTCACTGTTATTTTTCTGGATACTGATTTCTTTTTTCTTAAAAAAAGTTCTAATTTAAATGGGGTGGAAATAGGTAATAAATGAGATCCCTAAAGCTATACTTTCATTCATTCTTTTTTTCTCACTTCTTCCTTCTCCCATTTCCTAATGCATTTAACCAACATTATTGTTTATAATATACATTTGTGTAATGTACATTGTAATATTACAACATGTTGTGGTCAAGGTTTGCAAGGGGCTAGATTAAATTCAGGGGACATAATTTATAGGATTATTTTATAATATTCACCCAAAAAGTCAAATGGAGAGGAGTGCAAGACATCTATTGATACTCTAGAGACCCAAAGAATCCAGCTGAGGGCCTGGATCCCACAGCAATGTCCCACCCAAGTTCAACTGGAGGCCTAAAGTCCAAGGCAATGTCCTCCAGGGGTCCAGCCCAAGGCGTAGAGCCTACGGCAATGTCACATGCAAGTCCCTATTGAGGATCTGCCCCCAGAGGGCCCAAGGACCAGTGGGGGAAGCCAGAAAGCCTGCACCAGTGGGGTGAAGGAGCTGTGACACCAGGCTGAGAGATCTGCACTGGAGCTAGGAAGCGACACTCAAGGTGAAGATCAGGGCTCCCCTGACGAGAACAGCGGCCATTCCCAGCACAGTGATGACCCAAGCTCCTCCTTCGACAAGGACAGACAAGTTTGCATCAGGAAAACCATCCACAGCAAGCTTCTCCAAGAAAGTCAACAGCCAACCATCTTCCCCTTCAGTTTTGTTTTTATGCCATTAGCAACAATCCTCAGGTGGCCCTTCCACACCCAGACCACACTGACTCGGTTCGGCTGGGCACTCTGAGTTGACCATTAGTTAATCCACCACACGATATATGGCTGTGTACTACAGAACTTGACTGGGATTTGTCCTTGGTTCTTGGGAGGTAGCCTTTTTTTCTTTAAGATTTTTTTTTTAAAATTTTCTTTCCCAGTATTGGGAATTGAACCTAGGACCTTTGCATTGAGCTATATCTTCAACCTTTTTCTATTTTTATTTATTTTGAGATAGTGTCTTGCTAAGTTGCTAAGGTACCCAGGCTGGGTTTAAATTTGTGATCTTCCTGCCTCAGCCTCCCAGGGTGCTGGGATTACAAGTGTGCACCATCAGGTCCAGCTTCTTTATTTATATATATTTTGATTAATGCTTATTAATTTTGCAAAATATTGGGTTTCAACGTGGTATTATCACAGATGTATATAACATATTTTGATCATTTCGTTCCCCTACTGCCCTTTCTTACACTCCTTCCCCCTACTGTTACTCTCTTCCTCTTATCCCTAATAGTCTCCCTGCTACTTTCCTGCCATCTTTAGTCCTTGGGATTTCTTGAGTGATGAGGATATGCAACTGAGATATGTCAGGATGGGAAGTGTGCCTGCCAAGAAGGTGAACCATGTGGTAAAGGGTCGGGGCACTGTGCCCAGTGTCATCAGCCCTATCTCCAGACAGGAGAGGGAACTGGCGACGGAGTTAACCGGGCAGCTGAAGGTGCCATCAGTCACACACAGGAAATGAAACTCGCTGGAGAGCGCTGGGAATCAGCACTGTGGGTGAAGGGTTACACCAATGCTCTTGTCGGGCAGGTGAGGGTAGCGATGTATCCTAGCTCCACAGTGAGAAGGCCAGGACCTTCCCCGGCATCATCCCATACATCTCTTTTGACTTCTTTTGATTTGCATCCTTTTTGGTATAATAAGCTATAAAAAAAATTGGGAGGATAGCGCGTTCCTGAGTTCCGTGAGTTCTTCTAGCACAACCTGAGCGGTAGTGGAAACTCCCACATTTGCAGCCAGATGTTCAGAAGTGGGCGTGGCCTGGGAACCTTGAGTTTAGGATCTGAAGCGAGAGCCATCTGGTGGAGGACTGTGCCATCGGGTGGTTGCAAACTTCCTGTGCTAGAGAGGCTCTGCAAGACCCCTGGGAGCCAGGGGCGGCCAGCTCCGCTTGCAGGGCTACTCTGGTCTCTGGGACCCCGAGCTCCCTCCCAAGAGCGGCCCCCTCTGCCCTCCTGGTCAGCACCCTTGTGCATCTCCACCCGGTCCCCCTCAGTGCCGCTTCTTAATGTTGGCCCGGTGGTCATTCTGCCAGGGCTGCCATCCTCTCAGGCTCATTGCAATGTGGGCTCCTCCTGCCTCCTAGGAGCCTCATGCATCCTGGGTTGGGACCATCTGGCCCCCACTCTGCACCACATGCTTCTCATGCACCCCATCCTCCTTGCCTGGTCCTTTCAGTGTTGGGTCCCTTGGGTCTGGAGTCACCCCACCCAGGCCTGGGTCTGCCCCGCCTGCCCTGTGATGGGACCCACCTCAGCTCACAGAGAACCCCCTCTGCAGCTGCAATGTCTCCAAAAAGCCCTCGCTGCCCCTTCAGGTAGGGTCCAGACATTGGGGGCCCCTGGAGACCAAGGTGACATCCCCCACTGCCACTCAGCAAGCCCAGACTGATCTGGCAGTACTAACGAAGCCAGACCCAGCAGGAGCAGCAGTCTTGTACAAAGGCTGATGCTTATGTGGCAGAAATCTGAGGCCATTTGCCAGGTTTGAGATTAGCATCTCCAGCCCGAATTCAAGGCTACTTGAGAACTCAGGAATTATCATATACATTTGATTGGTATGCAAATTAGCCTTGGATTTTTCAGCCTTTTACAAGGGTATCCCCAGGTGCCTCCCTCCATTCCTAGAACCTCAAGCACACCTACTAGTCAACATTTCCTGGCCTGCTACTTCTTTTGTAAATAGTTTTCTTGGCACACAGCTTCACCTGTTCATTTCGTATTGCGTATGCTTGTTTGTTACTACAAAGGCTCCTGGTCCCACACAGCTGGTTAATTTCTCCAGTGTCTGTCACTGCCACTGGTGTGGGAACACCTGGAGGACATGGACATGTGGTGCTCCTCTCTCCCCAGCTACCTGGCCACATAGCAGAAACAAGGTCAATGCCAGAGACAGCCACTGAAGGACAGACTGCCCGCTCCCTCTCTGAAGCAACAGGAAACATAAAGCATTAAAATCACACAATGATGGGGGTTTCAGGCAGAGCAAGAAGGGGGCAACATGACCCAAGGCTCTTTGGAGAAGGCATGGCTTTGCAGTGCTGGGCTGGCTAATAATAAAGCCACTTTTCATTTCTATGTATAGACTGCTCCTTCCAATGAGAGCCCTGTGGGAGGCAGGGGTCAAGGGCAGCCCTCCTGGCTTGTCATGGGTCCCCGTGCTGTCCCCATGGTCATTCTTGGCCTTGGTGGACCATGCGAATGCTGGCTTGTGGAGCCCAGCACTGGTGGTCAATAACACAGGTGGAAAGGGCAAGGCTGGATTCAGACAGATCAGAGTCTGAATAACAGCACTGCCTTCTCCTAGCCATGTGGTCTTGGGCAATTTGCTTAAACACTGTGCCTCTTTTCTCTCATGAGGAGGTGGGGGTAGCATCGATGGGCTAGATGATGCCCCTCCATCCGCAAATGCAAGTGTCGAAGCCCTAAGCCCCGGTTCTGCCTCACTACACCACATGACCTTGCCATGGCTTCCCAGTGCCTATAGACTAACACTGCTCCTCAGGCTCAGGTCTGTGGTTCTCTTCCACTCCACCCTCCTTTCCACCCCTCCTGCTGCCCCATCTCCCCTTTCTCATTGGACACTGGCATGTGGCACCTCTACTATTCCCAGCAGGCCACTACCTCCTCCAGGTTGCCTTCCCTGTGTCCCAGCATGGACATGTGACCAGCATTCATCAAATACGTGCTGAATGAATGCAATGCGTAGGGAACGAATGAGCTGCTCCTTCCTCCCACTCCCAAGGCCACAGGGTAAACCCACGTTGTACTATTCCAGGCACAAGTTTCACAGGTCCACCTCATACGCTGCCATGGACATGAAGCCCACTGCCCTCCCCGCTGAATGGCCCACTGCACTTCCGAGATGGAGCAAGAGCCCAAATTCCCAGTTCTCCTTCAGAGAGAAGTCAGGGCAAGTCAGGTCCCATCTTGGGGGACATTGTAGTGACAAGATCAAGCACCACTGATTGCTGCAAGAGCCTGGAGAAGCCACCTTGGCCTCCTGGCTTTCAGTTTTTAGCATCAGAACCAATTTTTCAAATGAACCTACACAGATGTCAGAGACTTAACAGAATTTTTAAAAACCCAGATCTGTCCTGGCACAAGCAGAGCCCAGATTTGCGAGGCACCTCTCCAAAATCCCAGGGCTCCCCAGGACTCTCCAGCACCCACAGGTTACGCACCAAGGATGCTGGGCCCCGGGACAGGAAAAGCTCGAGAAGCTCCCAGAGCTGCCCTGCTTTCCCCAGTGTTCCCCGTCCCTCCGACCTGCCTGCCGTCGCTTGGCCCCCAAGATGGGGCCCAGCAAACGCCCCTTCCGGGTGGCATCCTTCACATCTCCATCCTGCCCTGGGGGCCGGGGGGCCTATGGCCGGGGTGGGGGGCACACTTCACCTGGGCCGCAGGGGTCAGAATTGCACCCAAAACTGGAGCAAACAGGAGCCAGGGCTGGGTCTCAGCCAGCAGGCCTAGGAGTGGCCTCTGGTCGTGATCACAGCTCAACCGAAAAAACAGCCGCGAAAATGCACAGGCTTCCAGGGGTGAGCCCTGGGGCAGTGAGCCCCCGGGATCCCTCCTAGGACCTTGGAAACCTACTGGGGCCGCCAACCTTGCCCCGGATATCTACAAAAGACTGGCTTCCCCTCCCCGGTGGTGCCCAGTGCAGGGTCTGGGGGGCTGCAGGCCACATACACCCGGGCGCCCTGACCACGCGCAGCCTGAGGATCCGCGCGGCGCAGCGCCCCCTGCCGGGCCTAGCACGCGAGCACTCACCCGGGTTGGGGCGTTCACCACGGACAGGTTGTACCCGTACAGGAAGGAGGAGCCGAAGGCGCCCACGAGCGAGGCAGCCAGGAGCGAGAAGGTCCAGTCCTGGGAAGGGAGAGGAGCGCATGTCAGAGCGGGCCTGGCAGAGCCTGGACTGTCCCCTAGCTGGGGAGAGGATGCCGACCATGCCAGACGGGGCAAGTGGAGAGGCTTCACTTGGGGCCTGCAGGCAGGATTTCCATAGAGGTCCCCAGCTTCCCGCCGGGCTGCCGCAGGGTCCCTGCACACATTTGCTGTACTCGGCGGGGCGCTGCCCGCAGCCACACGCCATGACGTTAGACGGGAGCACCAAGCAGAGCCAGGGCGGCTGCAGCTGACACCCACGGGGCGCTCCCCATTCTGTGCATCCTCTCTTCCTTCCTGGAACTGACCTGTCTCCTTAGTCCCCCTGGGGGGGTGGGCACAGAGCTGTCCCTGGGGCTGCCCAAGGTGGGGTCTGGGGCCTGAGTGGTCACAGCTGCCAGTCACTGACCTCCCCCACCTCTGACTCTTCAGGTGCCTTCCTGTAGGGAGCCTGAGACTGCCCACAGCCACACAGACACACGCCCGCCACGCACGCACGCAAGCGCCTGCATGAGCACTCGCACGGGCGCTTGGTCGCACGCTCGCGCGTGCCCGCACACACATTCTTACTGGCTGAGGCACAGTGTATAGCCTGGTCTCAGCTCTTCGGAACCAGAACCTGCAGATCCACACGGCCTTATGCCGAGAGTCATAAATCTGCTAAACGGAGTCCCGCCCACCCCGGCCCCACACCAGGGGGCCATAGCCAGCCTGGAGCGGGAACACCCAGGCCCCATGGCCCCTGCTGACCAGCTGGCACAAGCAGGCTGCAAAAGAGGCTGGTATCCTAGCCTGGTGGACGTGAGCCAGATGGAGGACTCGGTGTCGGTGTGTGTGTGTGTGTGTGTGTGTGTGTGTGTGTGTGTGTGTGTGTGTGGTCTGCTTGGAAGGTGACTTGGAAGGCGACGCTGGTCTCTGGTAGTAATTTCTTTGCCCACGCACCTCCTTTAGCTGGGCTTTGGGGCCATAGGGCCCCACCTCTGGTTATGCAACCTGAGCAAAGCACCTGACCTTTCTAAGCTGCAGGGCGCTTAGTAAGGGTACCAGATGTCGCCAGTGCCCAGAACAGTTACCTCTCTCTTGCTCCACTCCCTCGGTGCAGCTGAGCCCAGGTAGACGTGCCAAGGTCTCTACCTTGTCCCCCTGACGTCTTCTCCAACAGGCTTTCTTACATCTGAGAGCCACTGCCAACATCGCCTGCCTGTTTTTACATTTATCTCTTCAGCCCAACTTCATCTGACCTCCTGCTCCACTACTTAGGACCGTGGCACCTCTGGCTGGTTAGGTGGCTGCTCTGTGACTCAGTTTCTCCATCCCACACCCTGAGTGCCAGCAGCAAAGCTGCTGGGCTCACTGTCTGGGGGCAGGATGTGCTTCTTCCTCATCCTTTCTGGGAACCATGCCTGGCAGTGAGAGGGAGGGCCCGGGGAGGGCTTACAGCCAGGGGATGGCATTACCAAATGAAATGGGATGGGCCTGGATGGTCCCTGCACTGTGAGGAGCTTGCGCTGACCAGGATCCATTAATCCAACCAAGTCAGCAACACTCTGTCTCTGTCTCTGTCGCCCTTTAAGGTCACTCTCTGGCCCCAGCCCACAGGGCACCTCCTCCAAGCCGCTGGCAGCACCTGGGCCCTCAGGCCCAGGCCACCCTGGCTCCCTGCCCTGATCACCATGGAGCAGGCCAGAGGACTGGAGCTCCGTACACTGTGCCAGGCCTTGCCAGCTGCTGTGCCAGGGCCTGCCAAGGGTGGAAAAGAGGTGGGCACCGTCTCTTCTGCCTCAGCCACTCTCCCCTGCGTGCCCACTTCCTCCTCCCCTCCAGCAGAGGAAAGGGCTACTGTCACTGCCTGTGCCACGCCCTAGGAAGGGAAGCAGGGCTCACCGGAGCAGCAGTGCATCTGTTCCCCAGGAGGCTTCATGCCCTGGCTACGGCCTGCTGCCAGGTTGCTCTTGGCCCAGTAAGAGAAGGCACAGGATCTGGGGCCCCAGCCAGTGTCATGTGGGCGACAGTGCGTGACTTAACTCGGGCCCCTCTGACTCAAAGCCAGAGGCCCTTCAGCCTCACGGCTGCATACTGAGGCCTGTCCCTTGTGGCCACCCAAGCTAGACCCACAGCCCACCCGCCAGCTCTAGAGAGAGCCCACTGAGTGATTACCTTCCTTCTCCCCTGACCCAGGGGCCGGCCGCCACTCCCCCTAGGGCGGTGACATTCAGGCTGCTCCCTTCCTGGTCCCGAAGGCCCAGGGCAGCTGGTGTCAGATGTCAGGAGAGCAGAGCTCAGGTCCTTAGGCTCCATGCTGGAGTTCATCCCAGCTGCCCTGGATGTCTGGGCACGGATCCTGGACTCTGCCCAGGCATCTCGTGAAAGAGAGGCATGCTCCACAGGTTGGGGGACGGGAGTGCTCACACAGGAAATGTGGCAATTTGTTCTTGCCTGAACAGGAAACACAGGGTTTTCCCAGCCCCCAGGTCAGTACAGTAACTGAAGAGTCTTAAAGGAAAACTTGCCCTCCTGCCAGCTATACCCAGGGCAGGGACTTTTTTCTTTGCTGTCTTCCTTGCCAGCATTCTTCCTGGAGGAGTAACCCAGGGAGGCTTTCTACAACAGGGCAGAAGGGAGAGGTTTCTGGCTTTGTCCCCTAGCCTGGGTGGGGTGGCGCCTGCACGTTTTTCTCTGTGTGTCCTCAGGCAAGTCACGTGACTTCCCAGAGCTTCTGTCTGACCAGTGCCAATAGCTACTGATCTCATCATACTCTTCTGGCAGAGTTGTTGTGAGACTCAGTAGAAAACAGGCAGCCCCAGCAGCACACAGGAAATATCTATGCAGACCCGCTGCACATGCGGAGGCTGTGGGTTTGGGAGAAAAGGAGACACCTCTTAATCATGACTGTGTTCCGCTCACTCAGCACCAGCCAAGGGAAAACCTTCTCTGTGCCGGCCCACGCCTGCCTGGCACCGAACGTGCACCCTGACTCAGCAGAATTAATTCACTGTGTGGTAGATTGGCCGCGAATGTGGGAGAAGCGCCTTTGGTCACAGCTAGGACAGGCTGCTTCTGCTGTCTGCCCCCAGAGGCTGGGTAGGGACACAGGTGTGCTTGGTCCATGCAGAAGGCTTCACAGGCAAGGGCAGGGCTCAAGTTCACTGCCAGGAGGCAGAGAAGCCAGCAAACTGGGCCTAATGGAAAGTGCACATTGAAACAGAGCCGGGAGGGTGCACCCATGCCTGAGCTTAGGATGCAGCTTGGGTGAAGGATGCAGAGACAGCAGGGGAACCACGCTTCCCACAAGAAAGTGAGCATCAGAGGTCAGGCCAGGCGTGAACAGAGCACTGTGTCTCCCAGCTCATCGTTTGGGGGCAGCTCTGGGAGGGCCGGCTGTTCCTTTAAACTGCATTAGTATTTGTTTGCAATGCATAATCACATTCATTTGTTGGAGACCAGGCCTCCAAATAAAGACAAAATGACCAGGCCTACACACTTCCCCAAGGACAAAATAAGTGGTAACAGCAGGCCTAATGAAGTCTAGATAGACATCAGTCACCCAGGTGGGTACCAAGACCTCTGGACCCATCACTTCCTAGAAAAAGTCTCTTTCCATGCACACTTGTTATGTGATTTGTTCCCCCACTGGATCACTACTGCCTAAGTGACTATACCTGTAGCCTTATTGGTTGATCACAGCTTTAACCCACATGTACACACATGGTTGTGCTCTATAAAACTCCCCCTGTAAAGTGGGGTCCTCAGCCACCCAATGGGAACCTCTCTTGCCTCTCAGGAGCTTTCTTCTCAATAAATATTTTCCCACTCTTAACCTCTGCTCTTTCTAGAACTCATTCTTTGATTTTAGAGAACATGAACTCAGCGTATCAGACATCTAACAGGTTGGGCGATATATTTTCATATTTCATCTCCTGTTTCAATATGATGACTTTAACTCTTCTAGGAACATATCCTGAGGAGGTGTTGCTGGGTAAAATGGAATTTCTAGCTTCAATTGTTTGAGAAGTCTCTATTCCAATTTCCACAGTGGTTGCAGCAGTTTACATTCTGACCAAAAGGGTAGAAAGGTTCCGTTCTCCACTTTCTCCAGGCAACCTTGGGCTGGCTATTTGTGGCTTTCAGCCACTTGGCTACCCCCTCCTGAGCTGTGCCCTGTGGGAAACATTCAGCTACACATGTTGCTGGGGTGGGCATCCCCTGGGATGTTGTGGAAAAGGAGGCTCAGAGGGCACTGGCAGGATGGGAGCCGAGGAGCTGTGTGGCTGGGAAGGGCATGAGTGGAGGGCGTGGGGCCTGGGCCTGTGGGGACCAAGGGCTGGTCCCTGTGGAAAGCGAAATGTTGGAGCATGGAGGGGGGACAGCCACATCCCAATGCCAGCCAATGGAGACTTGATAGTCATCACCTCGTCTCCTCCCCTCACCCTGCTGTCATGCTTCCTCCTTGTCCCTGGTTTCCACGTCTGTAGCAGTGGTTCCCACAGATCTCCCTAAGACTCAGACTAGAATAGCTGACTCCCCAAATTTAAGGGGGCTCCGCAGATAATGCTGGAATTGAAATCTCAAAAGGTGCCTGAACCCAGGCAGTCAACACAAATGGCATAAAGGAAGAGGGAAGGCAGGTCCCTTCATGAACCCCATGACGGCTACCCAGGGTCTCCACCACCAGAGCAGCCTGCCTGTCCTCCCCCATCTCGCACGTCTGCAGTGCTTTCCAGTCCTGAGGTCATCCTTGCTCCCTTCAGCCCAAGGGGCTAAGTTAAGGGAAGAGCTGAAGCTCAGGGACAATGTGGCCTGGGATCTGTGCTCTGAAGTGGTCCCGGAGAAACCTGGCTCTGATCAGAGACATGGTGATGGAATCGATGTTTCTGTCTGGGGGATGTTCAGCTGCTCCACCACTCACCCTTCATTCACACATCCACTTACCAATATGTCCTGAGCTCCTGCACATTCGGGTTTGCCTGGCCCTGTGCAATAACTGCCTTTGATTTGCTGGGCCCTCAAGGCTCAGCTCCCTGATGCCCTCCTCCTCCTCCAGATGCTGCCCTTGACCTTTCCCTGCTGTTTCTGTGTTCCATACCTTGGAAGGCAGGGACTATGCACATCCTATGGGCTGAATTGTGTCCCCCAGATTCATATGTTGCCGTCCTAACCCCCAGCATCCCAAATGTGATGGTATTTGGAGACAGGGTCTTTGAAGAAGTAATTAAGGTAAAATGAGATGATTAGTTGGGTCCCTGTCCAATGTGAAAAATGTCCTTACAAGATGACTAAAGGAAAACGTAGAGAAAAAAATCAGTTTTCCTAGCTGAAAGCAGTCTCTCCCAGTTTCTTGTGGCTCCCCACTCAGATCCCCCCAACTGCTGACCTCTGCTCTGCTACAGATAAGGCAAACAGCAAGATGATGCAACCAGAGTCCAGAGATGTCCTGGGTTCTCAGGAATCTGCCTCCCTCCAAGTCTGACCTCTGCTCAGGTATTTGATAAGGAAGACTCTGTTTACATCTTAGAGACTTTTCTCTCAAGAGATACAGATAAGGTTGACCCTGCGTTCCTATAAACAAGGCCCATGACCTCCTGAAATTCCTTATGTGTGTATTGTTTCAAGGTTAATCTGTTAAACTGTCACTAAGTGAATAATTGTCTTTGTCCCATTTCCTGCCAACCCCCTCAACAAATGTATAAAAATGGATCTTCTCCTTTGTTCATGGCCTGGCATTTTGGACATGAGTTCAGCTGGGTCAGGTACACACCTAACAAAACCCTCCTACTTCCTAGTGGTCTCCCCTGTCTCTTGAATTCTGCAACATGACCACATGCAGATTCAGGGAGAAGATGCCATCCACAAGCCAAGGAGAGAGGCTCAGGGGGAACTGAGGTAGGACAGAAGAAATAAAAATGGATAGGAAGGAAACCAGGAAATTGAGAATTTAAAATTGTACTTTTAAGAAAAACTACAGCTTCAAAACAAGCTCTTTTCCTGCTTCTGGAGGCCACCTGGTATGTGATCCTCTCCCCTTCCATTCTTACAGAGAATAATATCACATTCCTAAAGGGCCTTTACAATAACCTGAAAATTCCCAGGCACGAGACCCTTTTCACCTGAAAACTGCCTTTTCCTCCAGCCCAGAAAGCCTCTGCATTGGAGACATATGTCTTCACCCATATCTCAACTTCAGACCCATATATCTATATGCAACTTACACTGAAACCTGGCAGTCAGTGAGAATTACACATCTGAGATCACCCATATGGAAACAGCCTTTAAATGTGCCCTGCCCTGGCTTGTAATGCACCTCATTTCTTTGAGCACCAGCACTCCACTTTTGAGTGCATCCTATATCTCTCCTTAATAAATCCTTCTCATGCCTCTTTTACTGACACTTACTGAAAATTCTTTATCTGTAATGGGAATCAGTTAACCTGCATACTTATTTTAAAGGGGTGGGTTAAGTTCAGGGACTCCCATACCCAGCCAGTGATAGAAACAGCCTTGTACACACCTGAGTCATAGACCTGAGGCTACCACAGCACTTCTGCTGTTTAAGCCCCATCTTTGGAATTTTGTCACGGTTGCCTCACCAGACTCCAACTGTCCCCTCGATGATGTCCCAAGCTTAGAAGGTTGGCTAAGAGAATGTGAACATTTTCCAGCAGAAAAGGCTTAGAAGAAAGGAGTTTTCTAGCAAACATCATTTAAGTAGAACATTATCTTTTATTACACCAAATACGTAGATGCACATCCTTGCCTCACCTCATATGAGCACCAGGCAAAGACACAGTGTCCAGGAAGAGGAACTGCTGTCTATGTGACGTGGTTCTTCATGTCCTTGTGACCTGAGCAAGTGGCTTCACTGACCTGACCCTCCACCTCATGTCTGTGTGAGGCCAGTGCTGTTTGCACTTCCCTGGCAGCTTGTGTAGGGACCTGTGTTGATCTTTGAACTGCCGAATATAGGATCATTGCAAACATGGACATGTTTTCTTCCAAGTCAACATTGCCTCCAAGCCCATCCCAGGAGAAGAGGCACAGATAGGCCAACGTTTGAGACTGGGTCCACCTTGGTTAGCCACAGAGCCTTGGCCAGGTGGCTGCAGCCCTCTGTGTGCCCCAGTTCCCTGCCTGGAAGATGGGGACCGTGCTGCCCTTGCTCTAGAATGACCAAGAGAACCAAATGGGAGACTCACAAACAGGTCCAGCACAGAGTGGTCACTCTGGCTTTAGCTCCTGAATCTGGCTTTAGAGAGGGCACGAGGAGCACCAAGGAGGGCGATAATCTTTGTAGTTGCCAAGGGCTTCCTAGAGGAAGAGGCAGGGGGAACAGGGGATGGATCTGGGTGCATCCTTAAGGACCGTGACCTGACCATTGTCCCTGATTAAGAAATAACCTTTCGAATAGTGGGCCCTGCCAAGTCCTGCAGCCCAGCAGCAGCCCAGTGCTGCAGACACCGTGTGTGTCCAGAGCCCCATCCTGACATCCCAC